TTTTAGTTGGAAATCCCTATGAAAGCCATGTTAAAAACTACCTTCAGTTCATCTGACCTCAGCATGAAGCCACAGAACAAACATCTCATTTTGTGACCTTGAAACTCTTTTTAGCTGTTAATATTCTGGGCATCCTTTCCCCTGTGGGACAGGAAATTACTCCACCCAGCTAGCTTGGTAAACTGTACAAACTAGCTAGCTACTTTGCATCCAGGAGGAAAAGGGGAAAGTCCCTATGGAGTGCAAGAAGATGACAGTGACTGCTTTTTTAGTCGGGGCAAGTGCATGCATATGGTCTCAGATCTGGCAAAGAATTTTTGATGGGATGAGAGGAATGACCAGGAACCAATGTGCTGTCTCTTTTAGCACACTGTAGCCCTATAGCCCTATGGGCGGTGTTTCCTCCACTCTGGCCTCCCTAGCCAATCATATCCTCCAGATGACCTGCCAGTCAAAGCAGGGCAGGTAACTTCGGGCAGGCACCTTCAGGCTTGTCTTTGAAGGGGAGCTGTCGGAGGTGGTTTCCTGTGTTGGGGAGCAGTTGCTGCTGCTGGGCGATGATGAACTGAGAGCTTTGGCGACCTGGAGATCAACAACGTGGTGAGCAGGGAAATGCTGTCTCTTGGTGGGAACTAGCAGAGGGTGAGGTGTGGGAGACATTATGGTGTGTCTTCCCGAGATCTGGGTGGGAACCTGCCGCCATATTCCCTGTTTTGTGAAGTCCCACGTGGTCCCTGCTAACTCATGGGCCCTCTGGATAACTTTGCTAAGTGACTTAAGTATTGGGAACAGGAAGCTGTGTGTACAAACACCTTTCTAGTCAACTTCAACAGACTTGTTGTATCCATGGAAACAAGTTGCCAAACTCAGGCCTACATTCCCCAGTGTCTTTTCAATATTGAGCACGTTGCATTTAGCCTTTAAATATAATTGTTAAGAATAAGAGAAGCCCTGCCGGTGCAAGAAATTCAATTAGATCAAATCAAACCAAATCCAAATGCCCATCGTTTTATTAAGTAAGACGATCTCAGGTGATCGAGCACATGGTGGGGAGACAGGACGGCAAGGAGCTCATGCAGACCCCAAAACCACGTGTTCCTCCTCTAGGAGGTCCCATAAATACCCTGCAGGACTGGTCCTGACCCTTCCCTGTGTGGGAGGTCAGGACCTTACAAGCTGGGATTTGGAATCCAGAACAAAGCAACTCCTAGGGCTGGGGCTGTGCCCCCAATTTAATAATAATATGAATTTATATTTAAATTTGTGGACCTTATCTAAGGCATCTCACGTGTTGGGTAGCAATCCACTACTATACCAGAATGTAGAAGAGAATTGGTGATACAAAGGATTTCCCAATGCTTAGTGAGTAATTAAGTCTCACAAAGTAGAATTTAGCAGAGGGAGGACAGTGTCTAAAACACCCAAAAGCTAAGAATATGCTAATCAGGGCTGGTAGCGATTAGTATGCTTGGTTATGATCACCAGATTGCCCAGATACTTGGGGCCAAACTGTTTCAAAGAAGCCATCACTGATTTAAAAAAAATTTCACTAGGCCCATCCAAATATCAAAGAACATGCCTCTTACCAAGCTGCTCAAGGAGGCTTATCAGAGTCACAACCAACCTTAAGGCCTGGTGTGCCTTAAAGTTTCTTTTTGAGAAAAGCACAATTCTGCCAAATGGGCAATAGGACACCAGGTGACTTATATTTGAAATGTAAAATACTGTTGTGTAAATGACTGGCCCGATCAATCAAGGCTTTCATTTAGGACCTCAGGCGGGGAGGAGGGATACTCTTGGAAGATCTAGAAACAGCCTGGGACCTGAGCCTTGTGAGTTTCCCTAATGACCTGATGTATTGATAATCAAACATAGATCCTTCTCTAAAACCAGAAATATGCTTTGGAGCTGGTAATGGTCTGGTGCCAAGGACTTTGTGGAGGGGTTGCCTCAGCTCTGGAGAACCCAACTCAGAGCTGTGGATATCAGCACCAAGGCCAATCTGCACTAAACAAAGTTTTTGAAATACCCTGTGTTCCCCTTGTGTAGAATTGTTGGACTAGCCTCCTCCTAAATTTGTCTCATTGGATGATAGTTTCTACTGACTTCATAAAATTTTTTCATTTTTCCTCTGGAAGTAGTATATAAAATGCTAGCTGATGTCTTCTATTTTTTTTTTTTTTCTGAGACTGAGATCCTCTGGGACAGTTCTAACTTTCTTGGAACTCTGTAGACCAGGCAGGCCTTGAACTCACAGAGAAGCTCCTGGCTCTTTCCTCTCTGTCTTGGGACTAATGGTGTGTTCCACCACCACCTGGCAAAATGCTATTTTTTTTTCAGAAGCTTACTAGGCCTGAGACATATCTTTTGCAATACATCCCCACCCTCTGTGTTTTACCTTTTAGTTGTCCCATCTTTCCCATCCCCTGTGACCGTCACCTTAGAACGTTGTAAGTGAAGAAGGAACTGATGGAACAGGTCACTGGTGTACTTAAAATATTCTGGGAATATTTTTGCTGTGTAATTCTGCCATCTCCCTAAATGTCTAGACTGGCAAATTGCCTGTTTCTATCTCAATTGTTCGAAGTGTAATCTGGACCATGAACCTAAGCGATATTTAAGGATAATAGCACATATTAAATGCAAAATCTGCCCTTTGAGCATTGAGATCGAGGCATGCCATCATTAAAGAGACATTCCTTTATTAATCTCCTAAGGGTTAGAAGTTATTTCTCAGTGGAAAGGCTTATAAATTCTAGAACTGCTGCGTTTCCATCCAGATAGAAAAATTGTTTCTCAGACAACTTCTTTTATGTTGACTCAGTCCCTGGTTGTTGCTTTCCAGGGCAATGACCTTGAGTGTCCTCTTCGTTACACCTTCAAAATTCTTAAATGACAGCAGCACCTCACAGTTTTAAAATTTATACATTTGAGTCATGTAGTTGACTATCCAATGCACTCACAGGGAAAGGATTTGCATATGGAGCAGCCCTTCTGTCTTCAGACCACAATAGGGAAAATAGTTTATTATGTGCACTGCAGGGGATACAGCATAGGCAGTCCGCTATTGGAGCCACTGTTATAAAAAGCGCCTGATTGTGGTAGTGGGAGTAGTTTGTAATTTCCCAGCATGTTTAAATTATTGTCATGTGAATGAACACAGACCAGAGTATGCGTGTGTCCAGATTGGGAAGCTTTTCTTGAGTCAAGGAACATTGAATGAGCAATTAGGCAATTATCCTCTGCAGATGTGATCAACAATCTTACTTGACACAGTTAAGTAGGCTCAGTGATTTGAAAAACAGGCCATTGACTAACTCTTTGTGTCAGGTTACAGATCTTAGCAGCCAACACATGTATATGGGCAACATCAATCTATCTCTTATTAATGACATCCCGTCTCTCCAGGGAAGGGCCTACTCTTTTTTCAAACTCAATATAGGAAATTTTATTTTATCTTAAAGGTGCATTATTATCATCACTTTAAAAATCACTTTTTGGTATCAGTTTCAAATACTTTCTTTATGTGTATTGCTGCTCTTATCTCCATTTGTTTCTGTTCTCCAATGTTTCTAAGTCATTGAGAGTTTCATTTCATTTCTTTCAAGTTATGTTGATTTCTGTGTAGAGCAATGTCTCCTGTACTTTAGGCTTGCCTCATGCTATGTAATTGAGAATTATTTTCAACACCTAATCCTGCCTCTGTTGTCCAGTGCTGGGAAGACAGTCCTGCAATTCCTTCCAGGTTTGGCCTTGACTAGTCAATGAGAAAGAAAAATAGAGCAGTTAATGGGTGTCTGTTAATCATTCTGGCTTTTATTGGGGACCTAGAAATGAACAGGGATTGGTATAACAATTGAACTCATTAACTAACTTTGAAGCTGGTGGAGACACAGAGTAGGAAGTGAGAGGTCAGCCTGAGGGTGAGAGCTTTCCGCTTTCAACCAAGATTACTTATGTGGAATCAGGTAGTCCATTGTAGATGCTGTATGATTGTCCTGATTGACCATTGTTTGCAGTCCATGGACCTGGGCAATCAAGAATCTGGGTAAGGGACTGAACTTATCCTGAAACCTAATTGCTATATTTACAGTAGTTCATCCAAAATCGATGATCTTGGTTAAATGCTCTGTCCCTCCTTAATAGGATAGCTACTTTTTTGGATTAAGATCTTCATCTTTCGAGAAAATATATGAAATATATTTATTGCGCTCTAATACAAATCCTTAGTCTCTGGAGCACATGGCCATCAAGCCTGTTTCAACTTTTCAAAATAATTTTTGCGATTAAAACTACATCATATTCACATTGTCTTTGTTCCCTCCAAGCCATAACATGATCCCGATTGTTTTCTATTTCATGGTCTGTATTTCTTTAACAACACTTACACAGTAATAGTGGTTACTTTATGAATGGGACCTGTGTTTGTCTGCAGGATTTTGCATCTCTGAGTCAATGGGATGTCTACACTGGAAAGTGAGTGTTCAATGGAATGTGTACACAAAAACCCTGTACTTTGTGTGAGGATCAGGATGTGCTCTAGGCGAGGCAAATAATGTGTACTAAATACAAATTTTCTAAACTAGGGCCTGGTCTGCTGGGCTGGAAAGGCAGCTGTGCTGCCTGAGTCATTTGATCTCTGATCCTCCTGTTGAGGAGCTGCTAATATTGTGAGGCCCAGCTGGGTAGCCCTAGGCAGTGAGGGATTCTGGGAAGTGTTAGCAATGGGGAGTACTAATGGCAGACAGTTTGTGGGTTCTTTCCAGGATTCTATTCTGCCTCTGCAGTAGGAGTAGGAAGGAAGATCACAGCTATACCATGGTGAGTGTTGGATGTTCAGGTCTGTTGAACTGTCATTTCTGCTGTGACTTGGACTTATCATGAGCCAGACTGTAGTTGTGTTGGTCCATGTGATTCATGTTGGCAGTGGCCCTTGTCCTCTGAGCCTCCCTACGTATGAATTTACTGGAGCAGGGGAGACTCTGGAACTAGAGGATATGATGGTGATTGTCCAGAGTCCACACATGGACACTGCTCTTGGTGTGCAGTGGGAAGAGAGATTAGAAAACTGACGATCTAGATTCCGGAAGTTCTCAATATTGCATTCCAATTTCAGATTTGTGTTATAAAGATTACTAATAGTTTAGGAACTGGTAGGAAAATGGTGATATTGATCTTCTAGCAATGCATGTTCAGAATGCTTTTAATGTGATCCTGCCACCAGCTGCAATGGCAGCTGCAATGGTGTGATCCAGTGAAGCTTCCAGGGCCAAAGGAGATTTTGATTTGCAGACATTTCTCAGGTGTGCCTTGTGTTGGGCAGATAGATAGAGCATAATCCACATCTTGGGCCATAATCCATGTAGCAGAAAATACATTTTAAATCATTTTTCTTTTTTTTTCAATTAACAATTTTCTTCATGATATGTTTATTTTAAAGAAATCCCATTCCCTGTAAATGAGTTTAAAAAAAGAAACAAAATTGAGCTCCCACCTCCTTATTCCCTCTTCTTCCTATTCCCTCCAAATAAAAGGGAAAATAGTAAACTGAAAATAAAAAACAAAACAGGAACACCAGATAAACAAAAACACTGCAAAAACTTTCTAAAACAAAGTAGTGTATTTCCCCAGGGGTAAGTGGAATTTACACTGGATCCACTGGGAATGAGTTCTTTCTGCTACAGAAACGTGCAAAGAAAGACACTCAAGGCAGAAAAATAAACAAAAAAGGAAAGAAAATAGTTCACCAGACAAACTGGAGAGGCTGGAGCCCTGAGGAAAGAAGGGTACAGTGTCCCTAGACCTGGTAAATCAGGAGCAGGCAGGGACTGAAGAAGGCAGGGAGAAGATGAGGGAAGGAAACAAGCTGAACAGATTGGTGCCCTCCAGAGCTCTGGATAAAAACAATGCCCTCCTACCACCCATGCCCACCTTCCCCTGAGAAAGGCACAAAGAGTGAAGTGGAGGATGGAAATAGGGAGCAGGTTGCACATTTGAGAAGTGTCCATGGTGACTCTCCAGAGGGAACATGGCACCCCTGCTGCACTCCCAGACCCTCCCCTACTGCCCAGAGCAGGTCGGTCCTCCTTAGTTATGGGATTCTCCCCCTTCCACAGGATATCTTTTTTTTATATGATATTTACTGAGCTCTACATTTTTCTCTACTCTCCTCCCTGGCTCTGCCCTCCCCCCTTCAACCCTCCCCAAGGTACCCATGCTCCCAATTTACTCAGGAGATCTTGTCTTTTTATACTTTCTACTTCCCATGTAGATTATAACTATGTAAGTCTCTCTTAGTGTCTGTATTGTTGTCTAAGTTCCCTGGGATTGTGGTTTGTAGGCTGGCTTTTTTTACTTTATGTTTAAACACTACCTATGAGTGTGTACATGTGATAATTGTCTGGGTTACTTTACTCAAAATAATGTTTTCTAGTTCCATCCATTTTCCTGCAAAATTCAAAATATTTTTTTTTCTGCTGTGTAGTACTCCATTGTGTAAATGTACCACATTTTTTATCCATTCTTTCATTGAGGGGCACTTAGATTCTTTCCAGGTTCTGGCTATGACAAACAAAGCTGCTATGAACATAGTTGAGCACATGTCCTTGTGGCACGATTGAGCATCCTTTGGCTATATACCTAAACGTGGTATTATTAGGTCTTGAGGAAGGTTGTTTCCTAATTTTCTGTGAAATCACCACACGGACATCCAAAGAGGTTGTACCCCTTGAATTCCCACCAGCAATGCAGAAGTGTTCCTTTTTCCCCACAACCTCTCCAGCATAAGTTGTCATCAGTGTTTTTGATCTTGGCCATTCTTACTGGTGTAAGATGGAATCTCAGAGTTGTTTTGATTTGCATTTCTTTGATGACTAGGGATGTTGAACATTTCCGTAAGTATCTTTCAGTCATTTAAGATTCCTCAGTTGAAAGTTCTCTGTTTAAGTCTATACTCCATTTTTTATTGGATTATGTGATCTTTTGGTGTTCAATCTCTTCAGTTCTTTGTGTATTTTTGAGATCAGACCTCTGTCTGATGTGTGGTTGGTGAAGATCTCTTCCCATTCTGTAGGTTATTGTTTTGTCTTGTTGACTGTGTCCTTGGCTTTACAGAAGTTTTTTAGTTTTAGGAGGTCCCATTTATTAATTATTTCTCTCAGTGTCTGTGCTGCTGGGGTTCCATTTAGGAAGTGGTCTCCTGTACCAATTCATTCAAGTGTGTTTCCCTCTTTCTCTTCTATAAGGTTCAGTGTGGCTGGCTTTATGTTGAGGTCTTTGATCCATTTGGACTTGAGTTTTGTGCATGGTGATAGAAATGGGTCTATTTTCATTTTTCTACATGTTGATACCCACTTATGCCAGCACCACTTGTTAAATATGCTTTCTTTTTTCCATTTGATATTTTTTGCTTCTTTAGCAAAGATCAGGTGTTCAAAGTTGTGTGGATTGATAGCTGGGTCTTCTATTCAGTTCCATTTGTTCTCCTGTCTCTTCTTATGCCAGTACCAGGCTGTTTTCAGTACTGTAGCTCTGGAGTAGAGTTTGAAGTCAAGAATGTGATGCCTTCAGAAGTCCTTTTATCGTATAGTTTTGTTTTGGATATCCTGGGTTTTTTGCTTTTCCAAATGAAGTTGAGTACTGTTCTTTCAAGGTCTTTGAAGAATTTTGCTGGGATTTTGATGGGCAGTATATCTTTTTTAAAAAATATCTCTTCCATTAAGGTCATGTTGTGTTTTTCTTTCTTTTAATTTTTCCCCTTCCTTTCTCTCCTTCTAATACTTTTTTTTTAGTTAGTGGAATACCATGATGTTGCCCTAGCCTAGCCCCTGAAGACTTGGTCCCAGGGCCTGCTGTTAAAACCACTGTAGAATTGAGACTGGGAGCTGTTGTAATTGGTAGTCTGGGCAGGGTATTGGGCACGTGGGAAACTCATCTGTTGTGGAGATACTGAAGTGGTAGTAGTCACCAGTGGCTGATAAATTGGTTTTCTGATTATTCTATTTTCTTCTAAAGTGACTGTCTATGTCATGGAATAATAATGGGGAACACCAGAATCATGCAACTATACTTTCAAAGAAGTATGCATTTCCAATGATGTCACTGTTATGCTTACATTTTACACATGTGTGGTATATTTTAGAAGGCAGTGACCTATGATGATGTGCACATCAACTTCACTAAGGAAGAGTGGGATTTGCTGAATCCTTCCCAGCAGAATCTCTACAAAGATGTGATGCTGGAGACATACAGGAACCTCGCCACGATAGGTAAAAATGAATTTCTTTCATGTTTCAAAATATGGAGAAAACTTTTCCTTGCTTTATGATGTTGTCCTGTAGTCTGATTTAGAAAGAAGTACATTGAGGTGAATAACAGTCATAGTTCCTAGGTGCACTTAAGATAATAAGGTAAATTGTTGTACAATGTTAAATAATACACAAATTCGGGTATTTTATTTTAGGATACATTTGGGAAGATCATAACACTGAAGAACGTTGCCAATATTCTGGAAGACATGCAAGGTAATTTTCTTGTGCAAGTTCATAACAATGTGCCTCTGATGAGTTTGTAATGTGTCCTGGAACTGTTAAACAAAGGCAACAGTGTAAAGAAGCACAGCTTTAAATGCATGGATGGTTATTAAATTCTCACAAATCCATATACCTCAGGCATTCGTTTATGAAAAAGTCAAGGAAGCAATGCCTAAACAGATATCACCATTTGAGTCATAGCACCATGAGATCTCTTATAGATAAGCCAGTCCATTTGTTTCTTGCTACTCATGACAGAAAATATATACACATTTCAGTGATGATGAGTAGAGCTGCAAATCTTTCTATTATATCAGGAGCCCATAGTAAGTCTTGTATTACTTACATACTCTTTGTGACTATGCTAAGTTTAGTGAAAGCAGCTGTTAGAGTTAAGGGTCACGTAGCAGGTGTTGTGGAGAAACCTTAATATCTATACCATAAGTCTGTGAGGATTCAATGTGGAAATCTTTTATTCACTATTCTTCCTTTCATATATGTGTGCGTGTGTGATTTGTCATTCTTGACACAGAGTATGAGTATAGGGATATGGAGAGATTTAACATACTTCTCTTTAAGAACAATTAAGAAGATAAAATGTAGTTCCTATGTAGAGAATACTTGTTGAATTTGATCCAAGAATACAAAGTTAATTCATTTTCTACCATCATTGTTAATACATAAAGAGAGTCACATTATTAAAAAAAACATAACTTCTAGGTCTGCACAAATACTTGCAGGTATCTTAGTTCATTTGGCAAATGTATAATGATTCACAATATAGAAAAATTTATGAATGCATTTAGTTGGTAAAGCACTCAGTATGCAGTTCTCTTCAAAAATGTAAAAAATATCCTAGAAAAAAAATGTAGATATAGGTGAAAAGGTAAACCATGACACAAAAGAACTTATCATCACAAGTATTTTTCCAGATGCAAAATAACCCCTGAGAGAACAAATCATGATTTTAAGAAATGTTATAAAACTTTAATTTTCAATTCCTTTTTATACTTGAAACTATTTATGAAATTAATTCATACAGGGGCTGGAGAGATGGCTCAGTGCTTAAGAGCATTGCCTGCTCTTCCAAAGGTCCTGAGTTCAATTCCCGGCAACCACATGGTGGCTCACAACCATCTCTAATGAGGTCTGGTGCCCTCTTCTGGCCTGCAGACATACACAGACAGAATATTGTATACATAACAAATAAATAAATATTAAAAAAAATTAATTCATACAGATATGATGTTCAACAGTGCATTGTATGTGGCAAAGCTTTTACATGTGTCAATTATCCTTGCAGGATTGAAAGATATCAAACTGGAGAGAAGTTTTCAGTCTATTCTCACTGTGCTAAAGCCTTGTCTTATGACACTCNTTACTCAAAATAATGTTTTCTAGTTCCATCCATTTTCCTGCAAAATTCAAAATATTTTTTTTTCTGCTGTGTAGTACTCCATTGTGTAAATGTACCACATTTTTTATCCATTCTTTCATTGAGGGGCACTTAGATTCTTTCCAGGTTCTGGCTATGACAAACAAAGCTGCTATGAACATAGTTGAGCACATGTCCTTGTGGCACGATTGAGCATCCTTTGGCTATATACCTAAACGTGGTATTATTAGGTCTTGAGGAAGGTTGTTTCCTAATTTTCTGTGAAATCACCACACGGACATCCAAAGAGGTTGTACCCCTTGAATTCCCACCAGCAATGCAGAAGTGTTCCTTTTTCCCCACAACCTCTCCAGCATAAGTTGTCATCAGTGTTTTTGATCTTGGCCATTCTTACTGGTGTAAGATGGAATCTCAGAGTTGTTTTGATTTGCATTTCTTTGATGACTAGGGATGTTGAACATTTCCGTAAGTATCTTTCAGTCATTTAAGATTCCTCAGTTGAAAGTTCTCTGTTTAAGTCTATACTCCATTTTTTATTGGATTATGTGATCTTTTGGTGTTCAATCTCTTCAGTTCTTTGTGTATTTTTGAGATCAGACCTCTGTCTGATGTGTGGTTGGTGAAGATCTCTTCCCATTCTGTAGGTTATTGTTTTGTCTTGTTGACTGTGTCCTTGGCTTTACAGAAGTTTTTTAGTTTTAGGAGGTCCCATTTATTAATTATTTCTCTCAGTGTCTGTGCTGCTGGGGTTCCATTTAGGAAGTGGTCTCCTGTACCAATTCATTCAAGTGTGTTTCCCTCTTTCTCTTCTATAAGGTTCAGTGTGGCTGGCTTTATGTTGAGGTCTTTGATCCATTTGGACTTGAGTTTTGTGCATGGTGATAGAAATGGGTCTATTTTCATTTTTCTACATGTTGATACCCACTTATGCCAGCACCACTTGTTAAATATGCTTTCTTTTTTCCATTTGATATTTTTTGCTTCTTTAGCAAAGATCAGGTGTTCAAAGTTGTGTGGATTGATAGCTGGGTCTTCTATTCAGTTCCATTTGTTCTCCTGTCTCTTCTTATGCCAGTACCAGGCTGTTTTCAGTACTGTAGCTCTGGAGTAGAGTTTGAAGTCAAGAATGTGATGCCTTCAGAAGTCCTTTTATCGTATAGTTTTGTTTTGGATATCCTGGGTTTTTTGCTTTTCCAAATGAAGTTGAGTACTGTTCTTTCAAGGTCTTTGAAGAATTTTGCTGGGATTTTGATGGGCAGTATATCTTTTTTAAAAAATATCTCTTCCATTAAGGTCATGTTGTGTTTTTCTTTCTTTTAATTTTTCCCCTTCCTTTCTCTCCTTCTAATACTTTTTTTTTAGTTAGTGGAATACCATGATGTTGCCCTAGCCTAGCCCCTGAAGACTTGGTCCCAGGGCCTGCTGTTAAAACCACTGTAGAATTGAGACTGGGAGCTGTTGTAATTGGTAGTCTGGGCAGGGTATTGGGCACGTGGGAAACTCATCTGTTGTGGAGATACTGAAGTGGTAGTAGTCACCAGTGGCTGATAAATTGGTTTTCTGATTATTCTATTTTCTTCTAAAGTGACTGTCTATGTCATGGAATAAGAATGGGTAACAGCAGAATCATACAACAATACTTTCAAAGAAGTATGCATTTCCAATGATGTCACTGTTATGCTTACATTTTACACATGTGTGGTATATTTTAGAAGGCAGTGACCTATGATGATGTGTATATCAACTTCACTAAGGAAGAGTGGGATTTGCTGAATCCTTCCCAGCAGAATCTCTACAAAGATGTGATGCTGGAGACATACAGGAACCTCGCCACGATAGGTAAAAATGAATTTCTTTCATGTTTCAAAATATGGAGAAAACTTTTCCTTGCTTTATGATGTTGTCCTGTAGTCTGATTTAGAAAGAAGTACATTGAGGTGAATAACAGTCATAGTTCCTAGGTGCACTTAAGATAATAAGGTAAATTGTTGTACAATGTTAAATAATACACAAATTCGGGTATTTTATTTTAGGATACATTTGGGAAGATCATAACACTGAAGAACGTTGCCAATATTCTGGAAGACATGCAAGGTAATTTTCTTGTGCAAGTTCATAACAATGTGCCTCTGATGAGTTTGTAATGTGTCCTGGAACTGTTAAACAAAGGCAACAGTGTAAAGAAGCACAGCTTTAAATGCATGGATGGTTATTAAATTCTCACAAATCCATATACCTCAGGCATTCGTTTATGAAAAAGTCAAGGAAGCAATGCCTAAACAGATATCACCATTTGAGTCATAGCACCATGAGATCTCTTATAGATAAGCCAGTCCATTTGTTTCTTGCTACTCATGACAGAAAATATATACACATTTCAGTGATGATGAGTAGAGCTGCAAATCTTTCTATTATATCAGGAGCCCATAGTAAGTCTTGTATTACTTACATACTCTTTGTGACTATGCTAAGTTTAGTGAAAGCAGCTGTTAGAGTTAAGGGTCACGTAGCAGGTGTTGTGGAGAAACCTTAATATCTATACCATAAGTCTGTGAGGATTCAATGTGGAAATCTTTTATTCACTATTCTTCCTTTCATATATGTGTGCGTGTGTGATTTGTCATTCTTGACACAGAGTATGAGTATAGGGATATGGAGAGATTTAACATACTTCTCTTTAAGAACAATTAAGAAGATAAAATGTAGTTCCTATGTAGAGAATACTTGTTGAATTTGATCCAAGAATACAAAGTTAATCCATTTTCTATCATCATTGTTAATACATAAAGAGAGTCACATTATTAAAAAAAACATAACTTCTAGGTCTGCACAAATACTTGCAGGTATCTTAGTTCATTTGGCAAATGTATAATGATTCACAATATAGAAAAATTTATGAATGCATTTAGTTGGTAAAGCACTCAGTATGCAGTTCTCTTCAAAAATGTAAAAAATATCCTAGAAAAAAAATGTAGATATAGGTGAAAAGGTAAACCATGACACAAAAGAACTTATCATCACAAGTATTTTTCCAGATGCAAAATAACCCCTGAGAGAACAAATCATGATTTTAAGAAATGTTATAAAACTTTAATTTTCAATTCCTTTTTATACTTGAAACTATTTATGAAATTAATTCATACAGGGGCTGGAGAGATGGCTCAGTGCTTAAGAGCATTGCCTGCTCTTCCAAAGGTCCTGAGTTCAATTCCCGGCAACCACATGGTGGCTCACAACCATCTCTAATGAGGTCTGGTGCCCTCTTCTGGCCTGCAGACATACACAGACAGAATATTGTATACATAACAAATAAATAAATATTAAAAAAAATTAATTCATACAGATATGATGTTCAACAGTGCATTGTATGTGGCAAAGCTTTTACATGTGTCAATTATCCTTGCAGGATTGAAAGATATCAAACTGGAGAGAAGTTTTCAGTCTATTCTCACTGTGCTAAAGCCTTGTCTTATGACACTCACCATCTAAGGAACGAAAAAACACATACCAGAGAAAAATGCTGTGAAATTAAGCAATGTGGTAAAACCTTTGCTTATCACAGTCAATCTTCAAATGCATAAAAGGACACACACTGGAGAGAAACCCCATGAATATCTTCAAGATGGTAAAGATTTTGTTTGTGAAACTCATCAAAGTCATAAAAGATCACGTGTTGGGGAGAAATCATATGAATATATTCTGTGTGGTAAGACCTTTGCTGACCATAATCATTGTCAAAAGAATAAAAGAACGCATCCTAGAGAGAATCCCTACAAATGTAATCAGTGTGGTAAGGCCTTTGCACGTCATAGTTCTCTTCAAATACATAAAAGAACACATACTGGAGAGAAGCCCTATAAATGTAATCAGTGTGGTAAAGCCTTTTCTGATCAAAGTGTTCTTCGAATGCATGAAAGAACACATACTGGAGAAAAACCCTACGAATGTAATCAGTGTGGTAAGGCCTTTGCACGTCATAGTCATCTTCAATTGCATGAAAGAACACATACTGGGGAGAAACCCTATGGATGTAATCACTGTGGTAAGGCCTTTACACAGTCCGGTGCTCTTCAATGCCATGAAAGAACACATACAGGAGAGAAACCCTATGAATGTAATCAGTGTGGTAAGGCCTTTGCTAGACACAGTGTTCTTCAAATACATAAAAGAACACATACTGGAGAGAAACCCTATGAATGTAATCAGTGTGACAAGGCCTTTGCAAATCACAGTAATCTTCAAAGCCATATAAAAACACATACTGGAAACAAATCCTATGAATGTAAGCAGTGTGGTAAGGCCTTTGCTCACCACGCTTCTCTTCAAGAGCATAAAAGAACACACACTGGAGAAAAACCCTATAAATGTAATCAATGTGGTAAGGCCTTTGCACGTCATGATCATCTTCAATTGCATAAAAGAACACATACTGGAGAGAAACCCTATGGATGTAATCAGTGTGGTAAGGCCTTTGCACGTCATAGTTCTCTTCAAATACATAAAAGAACACATACTGGAGAGAAACCCTATAAATGTAATCAGTGTGATAAAACCTTTGCTAAACATTGTGGTCTTCAATATCATAAAAGACTGCACACTGGAGAAAAACCATATGAATGTAATCAGTGTGGTAAGGCCTTTGCTTTTGACAGTTATCTTCAAAGCCATAAAAGAACACATACTGGGGAGAAACCCTATGAATGTAATCAGTGTGGTAAGGCCTTCGCATATCACAGTAATCTTCGAAGCCATAAAAGAACGCATACTGGAGGGAAACCCTATGAATGTAATCAGTGTGGCAAGGCCTTTGCTCAACATGCTTATCTTCAAATGCATAAAAGAACACACACTGGAGAAAAACCTTATGAATGTAATCAGTGTGGTAAGGCCTTTGCAGCTCATATTCATCTTCGATTGCATAAAAGAACACATACTGGAGAGAAACCCTATGAATGTAGTCAGTGTGGTAAGGCCTTTGCATATCCGCATACCTTAAAACTGCATAAAAGAACACATACTGGAGAGAAACCCTATGAATGTAATCAGTGTGACAAGGCCTTTGCAAATCACAGTAATCTTCAAAGCCATATAAAAACACATACTGGAAACAAATCCTATGAATGTAAGCAGTGTGGTAAGGCCTTTGCTCACCACGCTTCTCTTCAAGAGCATAAAAGAACACACACTGGAGAAAAACCCTATAAATGTAATCAATGTGGTAAGGCCTTTGCACGTCATGATCATCTTCAATTGCATAAAAGAACACATACTGGAGAGAAACCCTATGGATGTAATCAGTGTGGTAAGGCCTTTGCACGTCATAGTTCTCTTCAAATACATAAAAGAACACATACTGGAGAGAAACCCTATAAATGTAATCAGTGTGATAAAACCTTTGCTAAACATTGTGGTCTTCAATATCATAAAAGACTGCACACTGGAGAAAAACCATATGAATGTAATCAGTGTGGTAAGGCCTTTGCTTTTGACAGTTATCTTCAAAGCCATAAAAGAACACATACTGGGGAGAAACCCTATGAATGTAATCAGTGTGGTAAGGCCTTCGCATATCACAGTAATCTTCGAAGCCATAAAAGAACGCATACTGGAGGGAAACCCTATGAATGTAATCAGTGTGGCAAGGCCTTTGCTCAACATGCTTATCTTCAAATGCATAAAAGAACACACACTGGAGAAAAACCTTATGAATGTAATCAGTGTGGTAAGGCCTTTGCAGCTCATATTCATCTTCGATTGCATAAAAGAACACATACTGGAGAGAAACCCTATGAATGTAGTCAGTGTGGTAAGGCCTTTGCATATCCGCATACCTTAAAACTGCATAAAAGAACACATACTGGAGAGAAACCCTATGAATGTAATCAGTGTGGTAAGGGCTTTGCACAGTACAGTAGTCTTCAATGTCATCAAAGAACACACACTGGAGAGAAACCCTATGAATGTAATCAGTGTGGAAAGGCCTTTGCACATCAAAGTGGTCTTCAAAAGCATAAAAGAACACATACTGAAGGGAAACCCTAAGAATGTAATCAGTGTGGTAAGGCCTTTGCTAGACACAGTGTTCTTCTTACACATAACACACTGGAGAGAAACCGTATTACTGTGGTAAGGCCTTTACAAGTCCTGGTGTTCTTCAATTGAATAAGAGAACACATACTGGAGAGAAACCTTAAGAATGCAATCAGCATGGTAAGGCCTTTGCACAATACAGTGCTCTTCACAAGCATAAAAGAACACATACTATGTTTGCAATTATGTGAATAAGTCTTTCACTGGTTCAGAAATTCCTGGACTTGAGCCAGGATACAATTGTTACCTCTCTTTGGAAAATTACTTAGCCCATAGGAGCACAAAAGCAATAAACTCCCATACGGGAGTGGAGGAGATCGGCACCAAACATTTCTACAGCTAAACTTTCTTAGAACAATTAATTTCTCTTTCTTCAAGTCTAACTTTGCTTTTTCTTTATACAAAACAGTTCATAGTATGAATAAGTGGTAAGATGCCTCTCAGCGCCTCTTTTACAGGAATGAATGTTTACAGAAGAAAGGTGTTTATGAATGAAAATATGTCTTAAATGTTTTATCTGTAATTATGTGATGTATGTGTGTGTGTGTCTGTGTGTATTTGAATGTGTATTCTTCATCCACACAAAGTTAATACCTTGGATCTTCTTGCAGAAGAAATTACAGGAAGCTGTCAGACATCTAACCTTAATCCTGTGAATAAACATTTTCAACTCACCTAGCCATGACTCTAATGCCTTAAATATTTTAAGTCTATTTATATCAGTTTGAAGTCTGGAAATAGGAACAAACTCATAAACAAGAAGGTCTATTAATGAAAACAATTGGTTAATGTCTTTAGACATCCCAGTTTTCTTTATCTTTAAGTAAAATTACATTACAGCCTTGAAGGAAGTAAATTACATAGCATGTTCACTCAAGAATGGTGGAAGATCATTGGATTTTGTTTTCAATTTTGAAATACCTGAGGCAGATACTAAAGTGTGCTATAGGTGGCAACTCCATCAAGCGAATTCTATTTTGTAGTCCTTATATTCCTTCTTAAGTAAATGTGGTTGGTTTTTTCTGGTTTTAATATTTATCTTTTCAAAAATTCACTGGAGAATTTGTGGTTTGTTATGAATCCTAGTGTGGGATGTCAGTAAAGATTCAGGGATAAATTTGAACTAATGATGCTCATGTGTCTGCCTCCGGAATACAAGTCCAAGGGTAGATGATGAACTCTTAATGTTAATGGTTTCTTTCCCACAGAATTTAAGAATATTGATGTTAAAGTGACTGGTAAAGTAAATTGAAGAAACATTAAATGCCTTGTGTGTATTTAAAGAAGTATTTTTTTTATCTTTTATAAATGTAATAATGTAGTATAATCTGTAATCAATTGTGTATCTGACACTATAACTTGATGTTCTTTTTAAAAATCTATTATCAATCTTTATTGAGCTCTACATTTTTCTCTGCTCCCCTCCCTGCATCTCCCCTCTCCTTCAACCCTCTCTCAAGGTACCCATGCTCCCAATTTACTCAGGAGATCTTGTCTTTTTATACTTCCCGTGTATGTATGTCTCCTTAGTGTCCTCACTGTTGTCTAAGTTCTCTGGGATTGTGATTTGTAGGCTGGTTTTATTTGCTTTATGATTAAAACCCACTTATGACTGAGTACATGTGATAATTGTCTTTCTGTATCTGTGTTACCTCATTCAAAATGATGTTTTCTAGCTCCATCCATTTTCCTGAAAAATTTGAGATGCAATCGAGGTTAGGATTCTAGTCTTGCACATAACAGTCCTTTCCCACTGTGTCATCTCATTGGTGCTCAAATTCAACCAGAAGAAATATTACAACAGTAAAGCTCTTTTTTCTATTGAGATTGTAAATGCATTTCCATTCAAGAATCAAAAAACATTGGACAATTTTTTTTAATATTTATTTATTTTTTATTCGGTATACAATGTTCTGTCTGTGTGTATGTCTGCAGGCCAGAAGAGGGCACCAGACCTCATTACAGATGGTTGTGAGCTACCATGTGGTTGCTGGGAATTGAACTCAGGACCTTTGGAAGAGCAGGCAATGTTCTTAACCACTGAGCCATCTCTCCAGCTCCAGGACAATTTTTTTTATAGTCAATCCTCTTTGCATATGAAAATAGTCTTACCTTTTCGTCAAGATGGCGCCGAAAGCGAAGAAGGAAGCTCCCGCCCCTCCCAAAGCCGAAGGCCTTGAAAGCCAAGAAAGCAGTGCTGAAAGGCGTCCACAGCCACAAAAAGAAGAAGATCCGCACATCGCCCACCTTTCGGAGGCCCAAGACCCTGCGGCTACGAAGGCAGCCTAAATACCCCCGGAAGAGCGCGCCCAGGAGGAACAAGCTTGACCACTATGCCATCATCAAATTCCCCCTGACCACCGAGTCAGCAATGAAGAAGATAGAAGACAACAACACACTTGTGTTCATTGTGGACGTCAAGGCCAACAAGCATCAGATCAAACAGGCTGTGAAGAAACTCTATGACATAGATGTGGCCAAAGTCAACACCCTCATAAGGCCCGACGGAGAGAAGAAGGCGCGTATGTTCTGTTGGCTCCTGATTATGATGCTCTGGATGTTGCCAATAAGATCGGAATCATCTAAACTGAGCCCAGCCGGCTAATTCTAAATATACACTTTTTCACCATAAAAAAAAAAAAGAAAATAGTCTTAGAATCACAGATTTTTTAAATTTTCTTCACTCCGAGTAAAAAATGCATTTGTAAAACTTTCTAAGAACCAAAATTATATGCCAGTGGATTGCATAATTTATTAAAGTTCATTCCTGCTGATAATGATAACCTGACTTCTATATCTTGTTTACCCTAATACTCTTACAAATTTTGTCATGTTTGCTCACATCGGCATTACTTATACATAGTCCTACATCAGCTCATTCACAAATAATTTTTAAACCCAAAGATGTGTCTTTGAGGTTATTTGCAGCCAAATGACTATTTAGGTTTAAGCACTAAAACTCACAAAGTGGAAGTAGTTCATAGACAACTGTGAGTTTTCCTATCTGTGCTACATGCCACAACATGGCTCGTGTGTATTCACCAAAACACACTTCAAAGATTTTTAAATGGATGGAGTTGACACAGCAATAAAAGTAACCCATTATTATTGAAATGATTTGGCTATTTAAATTACAGAATTTCAAGAAATATTGTTATTCATCAAAATAATGGTGTTCCCTTCTCAGTCTTTCATTATGTTTTTATGACTCAATTAAGTCTTTAAAAACACACATTTCAGCTCAACTTAGAGGTGCATGGCTCTAATCACAGGACATGGGAGTGTGGGTGGGTCCGATCTCAGTGAGTTTGAGGCCAGCTTCTTCCACATAATGCATACCTGGCATCAATGGCTACATGGACATATCCTGTCTCCAAAAGATCACAAAAGACAGACTATCCTAAATTATGGAAGTTTTCCTAATAAAATCTGTCTGGAGTCAGACTGATTTCAACCAACATTTTGAATATTCTCTCACATAGAGAGAATTGTCTTAACAATGAAAATGAGCAACATACCATTTCCATCCATTGAATCCTTTGCCAACCATCTAGAGTGGACTTTATCCTTCAAGTGATAAGAGACAGAAGGAACAGTGTGACTTCTCTCCCTTCAGCGTTAGAATGCGATGTTGGATCTGGAGCGTTGTCTCAGTCATGCCGCCCCTCTTGGGTACACAAGTTTGATTCATGGCATCATATCTGATTGCTCAGACTCCCTGTACTTGGAGGTCCTGAAGAACAGGTGCACTGTAATAGCTGAGACACTCAGTCTTGTGGGACTGAGTAACTACTAGAGTCTTGAACAAGGAGACCAGAATTCTGGTTTTTAAACTCCTACTAGTATTTTTACTGTTTATGACAAAAATGAAACACATTCTAAACGGAAGGAATGGAGTTGAGGGTATTGGGATTGTCTATATGTCCCTTTCCAGAGAAGACAGATTTCCTTGAAGATTCCCCCGGAAATGATGTGGAAGATGAGAGGAATTCAGCACGGTGATGGAATGAGACAGGTGTGACGGCAAAGACAGGAAATAAATTGAAGTAAATCAGAGGTTTGTGAGCTTTCCTCAAATGTAGTACCAGTGCTGAAACTATCCCTGGGTTTTTGTCATTCACACAGAAGGTTAAGAGAATCACACAGTAATTCTAGTCATGCAAAATTACATCCAAAAACTCAATTAGTTAAAACCATACTCCTTTAATTCAGAATGAACTACTTTGAATCCCTAATACTACTTTGAACCCACTTTTCCTGTGTGGTTAGGCAGCTGTAAATATGGTTTCTATGGTAAGGAATCACACAATAAAAAAATTTCCATTTTAAAAAAAGATATAAAGTAATGCAAATTAGGCCAGGCAATGGTGGTGCATGATTTTAATCCCTGAACTTAGGAGGGAGAGACAGGTAGATCTCTGTGAGCTTGAGATCGGCATGCTGTCTGGTATGAGTGCCAGCAGAGCCAGATTTGCAGAGAGACCCTTTTTGAAAAATCTCCTAAAATTGTTTGGCTGGGCAGTGGCAGTGGATGCCTTAATCAGAAGGCAAAAGGAGGCAGATCTCTGTGAGTTAAAGGCCAGCCTGGTCAACAGAGCAAGTTCTAGGACAGACCTGAAAGATACAAAAAATCCCCGTCTTGAAAAACAAACAAACAATTAGCAAAGGGACCTAAAATCTAAGGGTTAAGCCGGGCGGTGGTGGCACGCGCCTTTAATCCCAGCACTTGGGAGGCAGAGGCAGGCGGATCTCTGGGAGTTCAAGGCCAGCCTGGTCTACAAGAGCTAGTTCCGGGAAAGGCAACAAAACTACAGAGAAACTCTGTCTCGAAAAACCAAAAGAAAAAAAAATCTAAGGGTTAAAATATTTACTCACAACTGAATCCATCTAGCCATGTTTCTTTCTTCTTATTGTTTTATTTCTTACTCCTTATCCTCCTGTTACAAATAATT